AACTGACCTAAGGGCTATTTTAATTTAATTTAATTTTTTTAGATTTTATTTTATTTATTTATTTATTTATTTTTGTCCTTTTTGAGACTGGCCGCACCACACTCAGCCAAGTGAGCGCACGGGCCATCCCTATATAGGATCCAAACCGCAGGGCGGGGGGGCTGCAGCGTTCCCTGCGTTCGCCTAAGGGCTATTTAAATATTCAATATTCGGTGGGTGTTTCTCTCAATGTCTCTTTACACAACAGAAAATTGTTAAACTTTCAAACCTAATAGCTTTGGTTCCTAGTATGACTATTGCTCAGAAGACATCAGACTATTTCAGTTAAGATATGGAAAAACAGGGTAAATACTCAGAATAAATACTTAGATGTGTGGAAGAAATGAGAAATAGGGCTGGAAAGATAGAAGACTGATTATCACCCCAAGGAGTTTAAATTATATTCTAAAACTCCTTGAAGATATTTTTACAGGTGAATGAGAGAATGGAGTAATGGAAGATACAATGAATCACAGTTCTGATATATGAACACTGACTCTGCTGTGACCTTCTGTGAGACCTAAACAAATTTCACCTTTCTGGGCTTCAATCTCTTCCTCAGTTAGAGAAAGGATTTGGGACAGACTCTATCAGGCCCCATCCAGTTTTGAAAAATTCTGTGATTTTGACAGAAACTATGCTTTAGGAATATCACATTTGACAGAAGTACTGGAGCTAGGGGAGAAATAAAAGTACCATATACAGGAAGCAAGAGAGGAAAGCAAATAAAATCTAGCAGTTAGAACTAAAAAAATAGATAAAAAGCATCACCAAGTAAGAGACAGGAAAAAGAGCTTCCTCACTGAAATGAAGGATCTATGATAAGCACTTGGACTAAAAAGACATGAAAGGGCCTGAAAGTTAGGTGAGAGACTTTGGCATGAAAGCCATAAGCAAGATAAAACTATTACTGATATAGTTATCCAAATATGAAGTGCACAGGGTCTAAACATAAAAAAGTGCACAGTAAATTCCAGACACTTTCAAAGGAGATACCAGTAGAATTTAAAAATGGAAAAAACGTAAAAATTTTTTTAAAAAAAGGAATCAAAGGGGAAAAAAGGTCAAGGTTTGATATCCAATTGAGTATGGGGATGAAAAGAAAAGAAAATTAAACATGACAGGTGATGACACCTAGAAATTACTGATTCTCGTTAACTGAAAAAGGTCACTACTAAAATTAATCAGAGTGCTGGCCAGTTAGCTCAGTTGATTAGACAGCAATGTTGATAACACCAAGGTCAACTTGCCAGCCACCCAAAAAAAGAAAAAAATCAAATAGTAAAACCATTTAGTGAACAAAACCATGTTAAGTTTTACACATAAGGGAAACAGAGTTAGCAATTTTTATGTTATTTTCAGGAAAAAACTGAATCAGAAATACATGCACAAAGATCAAAATATTTCATGTGAGTTGAATAATTCAATTAACCTTTTTCTGTTGCATGATCATTGATTTGACACTGACCTCTGATACTAACACATATGGCATATTTCAGTGGCTGCATTTGTTTTTAATGGGGTAAAACTGGCACCCATACAATTATGCTCATAAAGCTGTTTTAAGGTCCTTTGTTGAAATTTTTCTCTCAAATTGTATTGAAGCCACCAGCAGGTAACTTGAGGAGTTATACTAAGGTTAAAATGCTCTCTATTGAGATTAGGCATAAAATAAGGCATACTTTAATTGCCCCAGAATTGAAAAAAATTTTAACTTTGACAGAAATTGACTTGGCTCTGAGAATCAACTCTAATTAAGATGAGAAAATGATTAGTTACAAAAAAAGGGCTTTAAAAGGCAAGAAAATATCAAATGTTAAGGAAGTAGTCCAAAATATATCACCTACAAATAAGATATTTTAACCAAAACAATGTCACTGGAGAATTCCATTTAGAACCTACTTCAAGATTTTTATGGGAAATCTAAACCTAGATACTAACAAAATAAAACACCTGCCTATTTACTGAAGTGATGATGTATCAGCAAAATTTTAGATTTTGAAAAATTCCGATTGATAGGTTCAAGAAAATCCATAAATAATTTCATACAGCACAAAAATAAGCTCTGTTTACAAAATCCCATTATTTTCAATTGGAATCTCTATTCCCCAAAACAGAAAGGGGAAATCTACATTCACTACTGACTTTGTCACTAACGAGTTTTATAAATTTTTGTCTCTTTTGCTCAATCTTAAAATTAAAAAAACCAAAGGAATATAACACACATTCAAATAATTACAAAACAAATGTTAAAAGCTATGGACAACAGGATTCTATCATAACAGCTATTTTATTGGCACGATACAAATATGAATCTAAAACAAATATGTAGTAAATAAAGGCTAGCTAAAACATGCTTAAGTTTACCAGAGCGTGAGTACTTGCTTATAGACACACTAATAATTCCAGTTTCATCAAAACAAGTCAATTTCAGTTTTTCCCATTATTTAACATAGAAAGAAAAATACCTGGATCTGAACTAAACATAATCTGTCATAACTATTTCATATTATTTTCAGTTGTCTACAGAAATAACTGTTGACCTTAAATCACCCAAATCAAGAGCAATTAAAATAAAAACCCTAAAGTATCTATTCCTTTAAGGAGAAAGGTCACCTAGATAACTAATCATTTCCATCAAATTTTAGAACATTCAAGTTAGAAAATCACAGTCTCTCTGCAACTGATCTCCAATTACAAAACATATTTTAAGAAAGTAAAACTCAGCAAAGATATAGTACAAGACATATCGTAAATAAAAATATATTCTAATAAACAGAATAAGCTTCAACTTTTCTGGGTATGCGAAATCTCACTCTGTAGAATTCTTAGGAAACTCATTTGAAACTCCTAAATAATACAGGTTTATTACATTTAAGAAAAACACACAAAGCTACAGGCTGGCAAGTTAGCGCAGTGTTATAACTCCAAGGGCAAGGCTTCAGATCACCATATTGGCCAGCTGCCCCCCCCCAAGCAAAAACAGAAAACAAAAATGAAGCTACAGAAAGTTAGTTAAATGTTCTAAGGGCTGGCAAGTTAGCGCAGTGTTATAACTCCAAGGGCAAGGCTTCAGATCACCATATTGGCCAGCTGCCCCCCCCAAGCAAAAACAGAAAACAAAAATGAAGCTACAGAAAGTTAGTTAAATGTTCTAAGATGCAACCAATAAGTCGAGGAAGGGTTTTAAAAAAAAATTCCTCCTAAGAGAATTGGGACGAAATATATTGAAACAGTTTCAGTGACATTTTTCACTGACTTTATTTTGAAAATGACATTTGGTTTACTTTACTTTGAAAATGTAAAAGTTAATTTACTGCGTTTCCAACTATTTATTTTTCCTTTGCCTGGTAATTAAATTCTTTAGAGTCAGTTTTTCTACTTTGAATTCACATAAGTGAAAACCACAGTCAAGTATAACTCCATAAAGTATGGCTTTTTAATACATTTACTTTTTTCTTTGTCTTTATTTTTATCTTTTTACTTCTAAACATAACTTGTGAATACTAAAGCCTTAATATGACAACTAAGGTATAGCGTATTTAATAAATGAGTGAGGGCCGGCCTGTGGCTCACTCGGGAGAGTGTGGTGCTGGTAACACCAAGGCCACGGGTTTGGATCCCTATATAGGGATGGCCGGTTAGCTCACTTTGGTGAGCGTGATGCCGACAACACCAAGTCAGGGGTTAAGATCCCCTTACCAGTCATCTTCTAAAAATAAATAATTATATAGGGATGGCCGGTTAGCTCACTTTAGTGAGCGTGGTGCCGACAACACCAAGTCAGGGGTTAAGATCCCCTTACCAGTCATCTTCTAAAAATAAATAAACACATACAT